TCCCCAGACCAGGTTTTCGATTTTGCTGGATATTAGAATTCAGATGAGAGTTTTTGTGCTATCTTCTAAGAGTTAAAAGAAGATTTTACAGCCAAAGACCATACCCATAAGTCTCAGCTTTGCCTCACTTCCTTCTTTTTTTTTTTCCTCCAGTAGTACTTCTTTCCCTCAGACTATTTATCAAATTCTATGGGTTGAAGTGCAGAAGTAAACACCAAAACAGAAATTAGGCATGTGATGTACCCATCAAGGTAAACACAAACACTGCACTGCTCAGCTTGCTCAGCCATGTAAGGGGTATCCTCTCTGCTGAGCAGGAGAGCATGTTAGAATCTGAAGACAGGATGGGGGGGGGATTATCAGTTTAAAATGGCTATTTAATGTTAAAAAATCTATTTTCATAAATTATATAAAGTAGAGCTGTACAGAATATTCTTGGATGAGAAAACTACAAGAGAAAGTTTATATTCAGTATGAGGAGGTGTAAGAGAGGACTTTGAGGAAGAATTTGTAATATTTTGTGTTTATCAAAAAGGAAATATGGATTTTAAAAGGTTGAAAAGCATCATTATTAAGGGAAAGAAAGGCATTTCTAATTTAGGGACAGCAAATATATAAAGTCATAAAATTACATTATAGTAAAAATCACATAATAAATGGCTGTAAAAGTAAAACCATTTAAATATCCCATAAGATCAGCTGATTTTCTTCAAGCAATTTAAAATAATATATTATCTTGAAAATAATATATTATCTTGAAGGGACCTGTGTCCCTGATTTCTGTCCTTATAGCAAATCATTCTCCACAGCAAAATTACCTGACTATGTTTATTCTGCTGCTCAAGAGAACAATTCTCTATACCTCATTCTCCTGCAAATATCTCAAAGATTATTACAATTTCAACTTACTAAGTAACCATCAAAATGGAACTCATGTTATTTTTCTCAGTGCACTTAATTTCCAATAATTCCTTACTGCAATGACGTGAAAGACAAACATTGTTTTCACTGCTAACAACCTATTTTCAACAGATCCTTCTTTTTTGCAAAGAAAAAGTACTGGTGGTAAGTGAAAGGTATTACAGATTACAGGTGCTCAAATTGTTTACTCTCATAATTTAGTAATAATAATTACCATCATGAGAGTATATCTCTGAAGATAAAAGGAAGAAAGCTCAGGTTGCTATCCAGGATATTTCCTCCGTGAGACAAAGAATTATTATTTACTTTCCAAACATTTTTCTTAAAAAAAGTAAATCTCTTAAGAAATTTTTTCTTGCTTGTACAACAATGTGAATACATTCAACACTACTGAACTATGTAATTAAAAATGGCTAAGGTGGTAAATTTCACATTATGTGTGTTTTACCATAATTAAACTGTTTTTATACACTAGGGATTAAAAAATTATGACATATGCATTACACAGGTCCCAAAGGCTTGTTTTCAGTTGCAAAGGAACTGGTACCACTGCCTGTTGTAAGTCTCCTCAACTTTTGGGAACAGTTGTCAAACACTGCACATAGTTCAAAAGACTCTGTACATTAATTAGCTACCCACCCGCACGGCAGTTCATTTCATATTCTCTGTTATCCTTTTTTGAAGATAACTCAGAATCTTGGTCCTGGACTATAAAGAGATTTTGTTACCTATTCTAGATAACAGCCTCCTCTTTCCCTCCATCCACAACTGCAAACCACAGCAGCAAGCATAGAAGACAGCATGGGAGGAATGGCAGTCACAACATAAATCCTACAGAAAATAGAACCTGAAACTTGGCTTGACATAATTAAACACAAACGAGTTGAAATCGACCAGTAATACACACGCTTAGAAAGGTGTTATAAAACAAAAGGATAAACAGTAGGAACAGCTATATCAGCTAAAGCACGAGAATACAGTTGGCTCTTGAACAACACAGGTTTGAACTGTACAGGTCCATTTATCCGTGGGATTTTTTTCAAGAGTAAATATTATGGTACTGTATGATTTGTGGTTGGCTGAATCCCTGGATGTGGACCTGTAGAAATGGTGAAACCACAGATGCAGAGGAATCTTGGATACAGTAGGCTGACTGTAAATTATATGCAGACTTTCAACTGTGCAGAGGGTAAGCGTAAGCATCCCTAACCCCTGTGCTGTTGAAGGGCCAACTACAGTTTGAGTAGTGAAGTTTTACATTAATAGGCTATCTATTTTTATTTACCATTTCCTTATGGATAACAGCTATGTTTTTAAAAAACATGCAATGTCTTTGTCTGTTACAGGGCACATCCCCAAATTATGTCAATAATTATTTGTTCTAGATTATTAAATTGTTCTAAACTAAAATACTCAAATATCCAAGCGTTGACATAACATTTATGAGCGTCTTGAAGAATCCTCCACAGTTCACAGATGTACATTGTTAAATTGCATTATCTAAAGTCATAGTCTTGAAAGTAATCAAAAAGTATTAGAAATAGCCATTTATAAAAGTTAATAACTCTACCAAAGATTACATAATACACTACTGTACACACATGAACAGTAAACAGTTGAGTAAAACGGTGGTTAGATGGTTTGCATTTCTTAGAAGCCAGCCTACTAATGATTTTCACTTCATGTTAAGTAAAAACATGCTGCTGAGCTTGCATATTTTCTTACCCACTCATTCTGAAATACCCCTATAGGATTTGTCTAGAGTAGAATGTCAGCTTGACTACACCTCTAAAGCAAGAAATTTCCCGGCAAAATTGGGAAGCTGATGACAACAAAGTGAAACTGATGCTTTCTCAGCTGAGTTTCACTCTTGGTTTCTTTCAGGGCATAGAAGAGCTTGCCCATGTAGAAGCAATACCCTCTTTTATAAACTGGAGTAGAGGAGAGAAAAAAAACAGTAAAACACTTCATTATCAGCCTCAGCCTACCTACAGCATTTTCCCTGAACGTGAGAAAGAAAAAAAAAAGGGCACGGGATAAAAATGACCAGCATCAGTACAGCAGTTCTTTGTTCTTGACATTATTGGTGTTTCACACCCTTTCATTTATAAGGAAAACTCTAAGGAGTTTTTATTTGTTTGCTTTTTAAAGTTCTCTACCTTTTAAAAACAACATACAGTTGACCCTTGAACAACATGGGTCTTAACTGCATGGATACACTTACAGGCAAAATTTTTTTTCCCCACTAAATACATACTTTAGTACTACACTATTTGCAGTTGGTTAAATCTGAGGATGCAGAACCTCAGGTATCGAGGGCTGACCATAAATTACAAGTAGAATTTCACTGCTTGGAGGCTCAGCACACCTAACACCCAACTGTTGTTCAAGGGTCCATCGTACTTTTAGACGATTTCATGAATTCTTTCATGAATAGCCCTTAAGCTAACTAAACTACCTCAAAGCAGAGAAAGAAGGAACTCTTCTCAGTTTTTTCAGGAAACCAGTATAACCTTGGTAACAAACTCTGGCAAAGAAAACATAGAAAAAAGATGACTACAGATGAAACTCAACTATTGATTTTAAATAAAAATGTTACCAAAGAGGAAACTATCTGCTTAAATATGACACAATGACCAAGGGTAAGGCTGGTTCAAAAACTGGAAATCTACTAAAATAATTTGCCATTAGGTCAAAGAAGAGAAGCACATGATAGGACATGACAGATGCCAAACTGCCGTATGACAAAACTCAACCTCCATTCCTGATAAAAATTTAGTTAAGTAGTAATGAATAGACATTATCTTAACAACAAAAAATATACAGACCAAATGAACATTCAACATTATTTAAAATTGCTCTCAACATGCCAGCCAATCAAATGAAAAAAGAACAACAAAACAAAAACTTTAGACACAATCCAAAATCCATTCTCTGCAAAAATCTCAGTAAGCTAGAAATATTAGTCACTTCCTTGATAAATAAAATTTACTTGAAATTAATTATAAAATTCATATTCAATGATGACACAGTAAAAACATCAAAAACTAGGAAATAAGAAAGAGATGGCCAGAATCACTATTATTATATATCACTGTTCTGGAGAAGCTTGAAATCATTAAATCAAAGAAACAAAGAAGTATAAAGAAATAGGTAAGATTATATTTAGATGATCATTTTTTCTAGAAAATTCAAGAGAAACAATTTATTAAAATTAGTAAGTTTAGAAAGTTGGCCAGATACATAAATCATCTACATACCAGGCACAAAATATTAGTGAATAACTAAAACCCCAAAAGGATTATGCTTTAATGAAACATAAACAGTTTACTTTAAATTTTACTTGAGAGAGAATGCAATAATCAAGGGCATTTTGAAAAAGGCAAAGAAAAGAGGGACTTACTTTGTAAATGACTAAAAAGTGTTCAATCAAAAAGACTTATTTGTAAAGAAGAGATAAAGAGAACAAAGCAACAGAAGAATTAAAAAAAAGACCCATGTACATATGGAAATTTACTATATTAGGTAGTGTTTCTAGTTAGTTGTCAAGAAACTGATTTCAACAAATGATCTCAGGAAAAATGGCTAAATCCCTATCTTATACAATGTACAAAGATAATTTTCATACATTTTAATAAGTAAAGCATAGAAAACTATAAAAACAACTAATAGACAATACAGGAAAATAATTTTTGAGTGGGGACTACCTTCTTAAGCAATACAAAACCTGGGTATTTTAAAAGAAAGACTGATAGTTCTTGAAAACATTTGCCATATAATTCACAAAGGATTAATATATCTGTATCCTAATGAAATACAGACAACTAACTTTGAAGAAAAAGGGCAAAATATATGAATATATTTGTGATGGTTAACTACATTATGGTACATCCAGGCAAAGGAATACCATGCTGACATTAAGATAAAGCTGGGCTACATATGGTAAGATTTTCATCATATTTTTTTTAATCTGAAAAAGCAGATAATAGAATTGTATGCATGTAAAGTCTCATTTTCATAAGAAAGCAAAATAACACGTTTATGTACACACAAGAGCAACCTGGAAGGCGCTGGAGTACCTGTGGTTGGGGAGAGGGCTAAGAACAAGTTTCATTTTCTGCTTTATACACGACTGTATCACTTTAGGATTTTCCTCCCCTCCCCTATGAGAGGGACAAAATAATTTTTCAGCAGAATACAGAGCATGCTTCTCCGCTACCTCTCGTTTGACATATGTATTCCAATCTTGATAGGAAGGCAGATCATTTTATCTTCTTTCACTTGCATTTACTTCACTTCCTTTACTACCATTTCTCCCTTATGACATAACCTGTCAAAAGAACCTGTGAGATAAATGACACTCTAGGTAGCAAGGCTGCTTTACTTTTTTGCTTGTTGCAGTATACCAACAAGAGACACAAAGACTTTGGTTTGAATATCTTCCCGCTTCTTTCTTCACTTTGTGACAAACACAGCTTGTTATACCCTTAACTCATCGCTGATTAGTTTACACCGCAATGGGGATTCCACCACCGAACGCCCGGTTCCCACTGGGGGCAGAGTTTGCTTCCGTTTCTTCCGCCTCAGCCACCCATTCTCTCCGTGACCCTCGGAGAAGTTACCCAACTTCTCATTGACAAGGCTATGATGACACCCCACAGGAAAGCTGAGGGCGGAAATGTGCAATAACCTTGAGAAAAATAACAGAAAGATCCTAGGAAGTTTTCGAAAGCGTAACAACGGTAGCACTAGCTTCTGGAAGGCAGCCTCTGTCCGGAAGGGAAGCTGGGACACTCCCGGCGGGGTCCACAGCTCGCCCTGACACGGCAAGCCCTGCCTCCCCGGGCTGGCCGGCCAAGAAGTCACGTCACCGACAGCGGCTGACGCGCAGTCAGGCAGGATCCCGCCCCTGGGGCCGGCACAGCGGGGGCCGTCGTCGCTGCGCTGACGTCGCGGGCCCGGAAAGCCCCTCCCGGGGCCGCTCCCGCACGCCGACCCAGGTCGCTTCTCTCACACAAGTCCCTCCCCACGCCGAGAACTAGTTCTCTCTGCAGTTCCTCGGCTTCTCTCCCCGCGGCGCCCACAGGGGCAGCAGAGCCCTCTCGCGCGCGCACACACACACAAGTTCTGTGTCACCGTGCCCGACGGATTCGGACACATCAACTCGCTCACAAAGTTTCTTACTCACAGTTCCGGGATTCTGCGCCGGTCTCTCACGCCTCTGGTCGCCGGCGCCCGGCGGAGACTCCAACCGGAAGTTGTTTTCCGTTCCAGTTCAGAGGGCAGCGCCTGCGCGCGGAGCCATTAACCGTTCACCCGCCACCCCGCCGGGCCCGGCTGGGCTCTTCCTGCCCCGCCCATTCCTGCCTCGCCCTCTCTCACCCCGCCCCGCCTCGCAGGGAAAACAAAAGCCGCGGAGAGGCATCCACTGTCAAGTTTAAAGGTCACCTGAGGGTCTTGGCTTGCTTTTTGCCAAACAATAGATAACAAAGTCTAACATTATCCAGTGTGTAGCTGAGAATCACCTGACAGTTGTAGATCCTAAAGTTGTAGATTCATCCCTAGAGATTCCCAGAGTTCAGAGCAACTGGGATGAAGCCCAGGAACCCACATTTTCAACAGATTCTTATGTGAATGTGATTAAGGTGATTAAGGTCTGCACTCTGCGAAAAACTACACACGCACACACACACACACACACACACACACACACACACACGTAGTTTACACACGCACACACACACACACACACACACACACACACACACACGAGTTTGTTTTTTCCCCCAACTAGTAACACGTTTCATTAATGTACTTGCCAAAGTTGGTTGCTACTAGTGAGTAGACCTTTATTAGAAAAATTTCCATGACTTAACAACTTCCCCATTATTCCACTTCCTAGCTGTGCTTGAATATTGTCCAAGATAGATAATTTAGACAGATACCTCAAGAAAAGTTTAGCTCTGATATCTAGTACTTCAGGCAAGTTGCTTCACCTAATGAACCTTGAGTTTTTAAACTCTTACAAATGAGAACAATAATAACCTACTCCACTGGATAGATGGTTACAGGATCAATCAATAATGTAAGCAAAAGCTCATGGTAAAGTTTAGAATGCTCTGCAAATGAAAGGTGTTGTCTGGAGTCGTGGTGTCGTGGGTGTCATGCTAACTCCTTTCCACCACCAAGGTCATCCCTAGGACTCCTTTTAAGAAGAGAGCAGTCAAATCTACAGCCCATGTGGAAGCTTCTTGAGAGCACTGAAGGCTGAGACTCTCTGCCTTGACTGGAGCATGATTGTATCTGGCTGAATACATGTAGCACTTTCAGAAACTTCCATGGTGTTGACCTACTGTTCATTTAAACAATATTTTTAAAACTCTCATTATTTTTGCATATATCTGACAAAGGTTAATGGTGTTTGAAAAAGACTTCATCACTAAACACAAGCATACTAGCAATGTTGAAATAGCAATTTGATAACCAAGATTAAATGACCATGAATGCTGTGTATTGTTGTCAAGCAGAGTCTTCTCTAGAACACAGCTCTACATCCACAGACTTGACAAAATTTCCAAAGCTGGGAACACTTCTCCCCTAATGATTTTGGCCAAGACTTGCTTGGACAGGTCTTCCGTCCATCCATGATTCTTTCTTCATCTTGAAAGATTCAAGCCAAGCTCTGGTGTCTTGAGCTTCTTTTTTTTCTAGTCATATTGTCCTATGTAACTTAGAAGCGGCTATCTCCCCAAAGGAGCCCAGGAGTTTGCTCCTCCTGGGATAGTATCTTTTCTCTGTTAGATCAGGAGGATCAGATTCTGACTGCCTCAGTTTCTCCCTACACTTCTGAATCATGGACGTTTATACTTCTTTCCTTAGGCCAGTAAGTTTGAGGATTTAAAAACTTGCCAAGTTGCGGTGTATTCTACTTGATTATTTTGAGTATTGGGCTTACTTTAAAAAGGCAAAACCAAAACATAATTTTAAAGATGTTTTCTTTTTAACAAACAGAAACTTCTTGTATATAGCATTGTGACCAGTTGAACTATTTTCTTGTAATAAGTAATTGAGTTAAAGATGACAATATAGCACTTTTTTTAAAAAAAAATTTTAAGAGTCATTTTAAGTTCACAGTAAATTTGAGAGGAAGATACAGAGATTTACCATATGCTCCCTACCCTGAAACATGCATAAGACTCTTGTCATCAACATGTCCCACCAGAGTGGTACATTTGTCACAACTGAACTTACACTGACACATCATTGTCACCCAAAGTCCATAGTTTACATTAGGGTTCACTCTTGATGTCGTACATTCTCTGGGTGTGAGCAGAGGCAAAATGACACACTTCCATCATTATAGTATCATACTGTACTAGAGCAGTTTCATTGCCCTTAAAGTCCTCTGTGCTCCACCTGTCTCCCCCCATCTCTGACAACCACTGATCTGTTTACCATCTCCATAGTTTTGTCTTTTCTAGAATGTCATATAGTTGGAGTCATACAGAATGTAGAACTTTTAGATTGGTTTAGTAATATGCATTTGAGTTTGTCTTTTCATGGCTTGATAGCTCATTTCCTTTCAGTGCTGAATAATATTCCACTGTCTTCATGTACCTCAGTTTATCCCTTCACCTACTGAAGGACATCTTGACTGCTTCCAACTTTAGGCAATTATGAATAAAGCTGCTATGAACATTAGTGTGCAGGTTTTTGTGTGCACATAAGTTTTCAGCTACCTTGGGTAAATACCAAAGAGTATGATTGTTGGGTTGTATGGCGCAAGTATGTTTAGTTTTGTAACAAGATACCACACTGTCTTCCAAAGTGGCTGTACCATTTTGCATTCCTACCAGCAGTGAATGAGAGTTCCTGTTGCTCCACATCCTCATCAGCATTTGGTGTTTTCAATGTTCTGGATTTTGGCCATTTTAATAGAAGTGTAGTGATATCTTGTTGTGCTTTAATGTTCATCTCCCTGATGACATATGATGTGGAGCATCTTTTCACATGGTTATTTGCAATTTGTATATCTTCTTTTGTGAAATATCTGTTAAGGATTTTGGCCCAAAATTGGGTTGTTTGTTTTCTTATTGTTGAATTTTAAGTGTTCTTTGTATATTTGGATAACAGTCCTTTATCCAATTTATCTTTTGAAAGTAGTTTCTCCCGGTCTGTGGTTTGTCTTTTCATTCCTTTTGCAGTGTCTTTTGCAGAGCAGAAAAATTTAATTTTAATGAAGTCTAACTTACCCAGCATTGCTTTTGAGCAAATTGAAGGAGTTGCTTTGACTATTTCTAATTGAAATAGTAGAATTTAATAATACACTCAGAATCTAAAACTGAATTCATGAGCATTTTGAAAAATGAAAGTGCTAAATACTTTGAATAAGGAAAGAAAAATTAAATGTACATTTTAATCTCTTTCGACTCCTGTGATTAGTAGTCATGAAAAGAAGTGACTGCATACTTCTTCAATGTGTGAAACATGCATCAGTGCTGGGGTAGATGGATGAATTTTGTGCTAAAGTGGTGTCAAACATTTTCCTTTTTTATAATGATGATGAATTTTTTAGAATTGACATACAGTATGTTTAATTAAGGTTAGGAATTGAGTTGAGACACTTATTTGAGGAATAATTCTTTTTTAAAAATGACATAATTTCACTCCAGTTTTCCATATATTATTGTATACCTCAGGTTAGCAAGCAGTACTGGGGGTACAGTGAAATGAAAATGAGAACTGCAGGCTTATTAAACTATTTCAGGACCTATTTCCAAAACTGATTAATATTTTACTGAGAATCCTGAATATCAATCTAGAAACAAGGAAAGCTGCCAGTATAAACACTTACTACAACTTGGAATGTCAGGTATACATCAATGATCTCAGTCAAATCTTTGATGTGAAATATCACTATTAATAGAATCTGGTAGTCTTCTGATTTAGGATGACATCTGGACTAGCTGTTTATGTCTCAGATTCTCTGAATTACACGCCTAATGAAAAATCAGAAAAGTATCAGGACTCATAATAGCATCAAAAGGCGGGACTGATGACCAGGGCCATGTGTATGGCTGAGAGGCTGTGCCCTGTATAGGGTACCCAGCTGACATAAGTGCTCTCTTGCCAAGCCTTGCCACCCTGGGTTTGAGTCTTCCAGAGTAGCTGTAACCCTGCTGAAAAGCATCCCACTGACAGGATTTGACAGGATTTTCCACCATTTGCAAGAACTATAGGGCTGAAGTGAACATGAACTTTTACTGTTGGAAGGTGAGCAGATCTGCAGCCCTAAAGGATAGTAAGAAAGCTGTCTGCCTCGTGGCACCTACCAGGGAACTGGACAGTAACCCTACTACTACTACGTGTTACTTACAAGTAATATTTTACACCTCATTGCCCCATTGTCCCCCATTAGAATTTCTTTTGATTATCCATTTTGGAGCCATGGTTTGGAATACACCAACGTGATCCCCATGGGCGTGGACAGATGTGATACTCTGTATCTAAGGGTATGTGAAGCAAATAATGGAAGGGCCTGGACAGACAGATCTGTGTGCCTAACTCTCTGGGAGTTTAATTTTTCATACATGGCTCCCGTCAAAGAAAAGACCAACATTTTTTTTTTTTCTGATTAACCAGGAATTCTTCTCTTCGTAGTAAAATAACTAGGCAATAAGGCTGAGGGATCTCCCCTCAGGCCAATACTAATAGTGACAAAGTTGATAAATGTTAGCTTTAGGTCCAAAAGTTAGCTGTGAGCTATGTATGTCTACGTATCTCCAGCTCAAGATCTCTGCTGGAGAACTATGGCCTCCTATTTCACTCTGTCCTTTCCCTTTTATGACATACATCACATTTGAAATCCCAAGATATACATTTGGATGTTTTTGAAGTTAGAATGGCTATTAT